ACCTCGTCCGCTATTAGCGAAGAGCTAACGAAGTTCGTATTTCGGGATTAACGCCGATGATCATCGATGATCGTCGATGATCCTCGTTGGAGTCATTGTCGACGCTACGAGGGTACCATCTGATAATCGGTATACTCGAATTTCTCTTTACGACCCATTTTCTCACTATTTGTCCACTAGATAAGGGATTAAACGACGATTTTTGCTATGTAGCAAAGAGGAACGTGAAATCTCACCGACTTGGTTAATCCTGACGATGTAAACGATCCAGACCAACTGCTACCGTGTAAAAATATGAAATTTATTCGCGTATTAAAGAATAATCAACTAAGTGCTAATAATTCATTATCATCGGATACGGTCCATCCAAAATGGACGTTTTCCTCAAACTTACGATTCCCGTATTAATTCGCGAGATTTCGAGTATCGTCGCGACACCGTCGAACCTGGTACAGCCGCTTCGAATCTGTCTCATTATCTAGAAGCAAGCACGTAACCAAATAAACGTCGAAGCAATTTGGACGCGTTTACGAATCACGTAGGTGGGTGCGTACAGCAGCGAAGACACCAGCGAAGCTGATCCCAGAGCAAGAATAAAATTCGCACGGCAGTGGAGCGGGACCTCGAACCCACGTCCCGTACGCTTAAACGCGATCCGGAGTCAAGTACTTAAAGACAGCACGACTCGTTGCGCACTTAACGCGACCCAAATACGGTGCAATTTGCCCAAAGTCCAGCGACGTTAGACCCATCCAGTTTAACCCTGCCCACGTTCATAATCCCGGCCTAGCTCGGCACGAATACCACTTTCGTGCCATCGTCGTCTTAATACCCTAGTCCACGTAATTCTCCACGACGTCGGGACTCCTTCAGCGACTAATTAATGCTAAATTTACCATTTTCGGAGCTGCGCAGGCTTATCGCGATCGCGAGGCAACCGGGGGCCCATTGAGCCGCGAGGATCCCAGCGACGCGAGTAGATAAAACGCAAATTCTGTCATGGCAGTAGCGTACGATTCGCGTGGGACGAGATCGGCCGACAAAAGGAAAGCGCTGGTTCTTTCTTCACCTGATAACGCTGTTTTCTCGACTCGCGAACAGTCGAGGCTAACAACGAGGTATGCCGGTTACGCAATGGAACGCGTCCCCGTGTGCGCGTGTGTGTGTATCGGTGATGCGTGTGTGTACCGATTGTGCAATGAAACGACGGTGTAATCTGGGTAACGCAACGTTCCCAAAAGAAACACGGGCAGCGTTCTCGTACCCTGATTGCGGGTATTATTTAAAGATCGCCGAAGCAGATACGGGAAGAGCCGGCTGGAAATCGGTTGACAAACATCCACGCGCGTATGGTTGTATCGGCGCACACACGCGCGCGCCACGCGTGCTGATTTAGCAGGTAACTCCGTTTCGACGCACACGCTGTGTCATTACCGTTATGCAACTAATCGCGAGTGACGGCCGGGGCATCCGGTGGCTGCCGATCGAGCGATTCGCGAGCGATTCGCGGCCGAAGGACGTCGAAACGCGGAAGGGGTCCGCGGAGCGTGCAGAAATTACGACCGTCTTCGATCGTAATCGCGAGACGCGGAGGAACGGAGCGTCGCGATGCCTTATCGACGAAACCGTTGCCTCTTATCGCGGCGAACGGTTACGACGACACCGAGGCCACCGACGACTGCAATATTCGTTTGCCTTATTGCGCACGCGGCATAATATGCCCGATGACTTCACGAGTCCGTTTCCATGCTTAATGCCGCGTTCTTTTACGCCACGATTTAAATACAAAGCCGCCGCGAGAGAGCCGACTTCTCGTTAATTCCTATTCGAATGGGATCTGGATCTCTACGATCCAGAAAGATAGGATGGATCTCGTAACGATCGGTGACAGGTCGAGAAGAATTAAAGAGACATAAAGGGAGTTCCGCTTTGCGATCGGAATGTGCGAATTTCTGGAAAAAATTTCGAAAAGTAAGCGACCGAGACGTTCGAGGTCTAAATATGGCGAAGAAATGCTGAGAGGGAATTCGAAAAACGATGTCGCGTTCGTAAGACTCGGTGAAAATGCGCGTCGCGACACGCATGAATTAACAAGATCTAGTTAATTAAGGAGCCCCGCCATGATGGTGCACGGAGAGAGGAAGAGCAAGCGAGAGAGAAGACAGCTGTTACGCACCGTTCGTCGTTTAGGCTTTAAAGGCCTTTAAGGCCTTAAGGCGCCTTCTAATTATTCACTTTCTCCGACGTCTCGCGGTGAAACGAGCGAGATTTACAGGCTCGCGTCTCGCTCGGTGTAATTTCGACGATAGTTCGAACCGGCGGGAACGACAATGCTCGATTCCACGAGCTTCCGGGTTCTTCGCCACCGCGGGGCTCCTCGTTTGTCGGCCCTTAGACGATCCGCCATTTCCTAACCTCCGTCGCGTCCTCCATTTTGCCGACCGCTCGCTGACGCCATCTACGTTACCCGATAATCGCTACCCGCTTTTACGTTCGATTCTATTAACGCGAGGCGAGTCCGAATATGGAGCATAATCGAAGGCTGAAGGTCTAGGAGGTGGGCATCGAAAATGGGCATCCTTTTCGTTAAACGAAACGACAGTGATTTAACGAGAGTGAGTTGGGAAACGTTGGAATACGATGTCTGACTTTTCGGATGATATATGACCAGATAATGCCTACGCCCCTGGGGCCATTTTTTCGTCTAATTACATAACCTCTGCTTTTCGTACCTTTACCCAACGTTAACCCTTTGACAGCCACTGAAGTATTTTTATTATTTATTTATTTATTGAAACTTAAAATATGCACACACCGAACAGGACAAGCTATACAACAGACGATAAAAGGTACAACAGTATACACCAAATTACATAGAAAAAATAAAATTAACTAGAACAGGATTACGTAATAATAAATAATGGCACGAAACGATGACAACGTGTTCTTATGTGGTCCCTAACAGTTTGAACAATTGGGCCTCAAAATTGATAATATTATTAGAAAAGGAGTTAACTTTTGTAAAGAAATGGCAGATTTTGGTTGCAGATTATTCAAAGCATATAATGCTCCGGTCACCAATGACCACCATGGCGTCACAGGAGAAGCTGTGACTGGTCATATATGACCAACGTGACTGTCAAAGTGTTAATAAACGCGTCTCCGCTTTGTTTCCGCTTTGTCCCCGAATTATTTCCGTCTATTCTCCTCGTCCTTCTTCGATTTCTCATCAATTCGATCCGTAAGATCGTTAACGAACGGAAGACCGGTCCCATCGGAAGATTCGCGGTGCCATTTTGGCACACAGGAAAGCGACGAGGTAAATGGATCGACGAGTCATGGATTATAACGAAAACGACACCGGACGATCGAGCTGTTCACCGGTTCTATTCACCGATGCCCAAGGTGATCGACGAGGACTGCGAACCGGAAGACGAATGCCCATTCTTCGCGGAAGGATGAAAAACTGACGGAAGACCAGTCACAGCTGTCATAGAAAATCAAGGGAGAGTCTGTTGATCGAGGCCAAACACGGTCATCCATGAAACCGCTTTCTATTCCTGCGTTTCTCGACAACGGCCTCTGCAACGCCGCCAGATTCGATAATCGATCGTTTAAACTCGCTCTTCGCGCCGATCGATCGCCAAGCGTGTACTAGAACAGCGATATACAAGCTTCCGATCGATTCCAGCTCGAAGATAGCTATCTCCACCTGGACCAGATCGATTCGACGAGTGTTTCGAAGAGGACCAAAAGGACCAATCTCTTTCGCCGATTCGCACGCGTGCGCCGAAATGATCCATGGGCATAAGCGAATTACGCGCTCGCGCCTCTCCAATTACCGATCTTTAACTTGAACTTCGGGTGAAAATCGAATTAACTCGCAGCCAATTACTATTTAATCGCCATAATCCACGTTTGGCAAACGAAGCGTTAGAAATCGGTAGAATTCTCAGTGCTAACTCACTCGTTGTAAAATAAGATCGGATAATAAACAGATTAAAAATGAAAATACGATTTATTCGTATTTCTAACGAACGAAAGCGAGGATTCGAAAGCTTTCAAGTGTCTTGTTGAAAACAGAAAGGAAAAGAGACGAGACGTCTGAAAAATATTAATTCCCGTGCTGGATCGGTAGAGTCCGCGAGTGATACCTCTGCCGATTTCGAGGACGCCGATTTCTCTCTAGCTCACTGGCTAACCGGTGACAACGTCTGTGAAGAAGAAGAATCGCGGCGATAACGGAGCGGAAATTAATATAGCAGTGGATCGGCGCGGAACGGGAGCCGAGGATCGGCGCACGATCGGCATAAATCTGGCCGGTGCCGATGAAGGACTCGGCGATCTCGTGCCGGCGAAATCGACGGTATCGGGGCTCTTATCGATCCGGGCGTGGGGAAAAATCGGTACGAAGCGTTAAAGGATCGTGCGTCGCCGTTTGCCGGAGAAAGTTTAGAAAGGAACGGCCGATCCGTAGTTCGCGGTCGTAAATATAAAACGGGCAGAGGGGGAAAACAGCGGAGGATCGGTAAGCAAGGGGAACTGTTTACATTTCGCAGTCACGTATGTACGTACGTACGTACGCGGGAAGTTGGCGCGAAACGAGAAGAGGAGCTCGAGGACGAGCGCGCGTATATTCGTCGAGGACGAGAAATCGAGCTGCGATGGAAAGGGAAAAATAAGCGAAAAGAAAATCGGTATCGATCGGTTTCAGCGCGGGATCGAACGCGCGGGGTTGCACGCTTATCCTCGCTTTCTCGATAATGAGAAAATTGCGCGGTTCGATCGATCTTGTAACACGATCTCGCGATCACGGACTGTCGATAAGGCCCCGCGTAGCCCGAGGCATCGGAACGGAAGTGATCGATGGGCCAGACGCGGCATTTCCGATCTCCACCTCCGATCGTTTCGCCGAGCTTCCGCGGCCTAACGAGAGTTACCTTTGCACCGGTCGTACGGATAAACGATTTTCGATCGGACAATTACGATTTTTCTCTTACCTTCGTCCGGTTCAGCGGATTCGAGAAGTCCCAGCCCGGGGCGACGAACAGGTATCCGCATTTTGACATATTCCTCGTTGCCTGTAACAGAAATATGGATCGGTTTAATTTCGGTTTAAGGTCCGGGACCCGACCAGAGCCGGGGGACGTTGATTAATAGCGGTAGTCGTTAGCGTTTACCGTCTAGTCGTACCATTATTTATCGCGTTAGACCGTCGGCACGACGATGATATAATTCCGATGAAACGATCGGGAATAAATACGGATTCGTTAGCTCTTACGAGTGTCCCTCGATGCCGGAACGGCAAAGAAAGAGGATAGGCTACGTCGTGGCTAATCGTCGCGGAGAGATCGCTATGAATCCGAACGAGTCACACTTGGTCGCGTGCATTATGCGTTTCGTCACGTTGCATCGAACTTCTGACGTCGTTATTATTTCTATCGGGTACAAAGACTTTCTACGTAGTTTCACGTCGCGTGCGACTCCCAGCTGTAGGCGGACACCCGAGAGATATGCACCGCTAACGAAAGAAGCGTGACCGTCGATGACACATATCGAAGGAATCAAGGTAAAACCAGACTAGACCTCGATATTAAGTAGGAAAAAAGAAAATAAGTCGCCGATATTAACATAATCGCCACACGTCCACGATTACTTTACGCAATTTTCTGTTCACTCTGTCGCGCACCACGTATGCTTCTTCTTCTCGAATTATTCGTCATAAATGCAATTAGAGGTTGGTGCCAAATTTCAGAAAAATTTGAAAGCCTAAGTCAATCGTTTTGGTGGTCCATATATAACTCTGATAAAATATAAATCACGGTCATATAACGTCATCAAGCATTGACAAACTCGAAGAACCCTTAAGAACCCTTAAGAATCCTTAAAACAATTAAAGACTTGGAATTTTTGGGATTAACTGCACGGAAATATATTTTAAACTACGTACAGAAGAAATAAGACGAATAAAAATCATAAAATATCGGCAAACCAATACGTCCACGATTACTTTACGCAATTTTCTGTTCACTCTGTCGCGCACCACGTATGCTTCTTCTTCTCGAATTATTCGTCATAAATGCAATTCGAGTTTGGTACTAAATTTCGCAAAAATTCGAAAGACGAAATCAATCGTTTTGATAGCCCATATATAACTGTGATAAAATATAAATCACGGTCATATAACGTTATCGAGCATTAAGAAACTCGAAGAACACTTAAAAACCCTTAGGAACCCTTGAGATAATTAAAGACTTGGAATTTTTGGGATTAACCACACGGAAATATATTTTAAACTACGTACGGAAGAAATAAGAAGAATAAAAATCATAATATATCGGCAAACCACTATCGGACTCACCCCTCCAGTTCTCCCTGCAACCCCCTTCATCCCTTCGCAACCGCGGCGTTGCGAGTATCGGGTAAGGGGTTGAAAAAAATGAGAGGCACGGAATAATTATTAAAAAAGTTGGGACGCGGACATTGCACGGAAAACATAAGCGGAATATCAAGCACGGAAAGCAATCTGCCGTGGCTTGTCCGTGGAACGAGCGAGCCGATCCCCGGCGAGCTAATCAAACTTTCCAACAACGCCGCTGTTGCACGGCGGATCCTCTTCAAACTCTATTATTATGTTTAGAGGAAGATTTAGGGGCTACCGTGGCGGGTATAGGAAAAACGACGAAGAGAGAGGATGGAAGGACTGGTTTTTGGAAAGAGAGGAGGCGGCCATTCAGGTGGAAAGGAAAGTCACGTGAGCAGGTACAATATCTCCGAGGAATCTTAAATCGGTCATTCATCAAGAGCACCGTGGCGTACCCTCGTCGTACCCTCGCTGTACCCTCGCCGTACGTCTCGCGTAATTTCACGTGCTGCCTCCTGTCGTTGCGACGCGTTCCAAAGGCTAGGAGTGCACGCGATCCTGTCTGGAGACTATCGAATCGCGAGGGAGGGTTGAAAGAACGGTCGGAGATTGGAAACGTGGCCATTCGGAGCGTTTCCAGACGATCGAAACTGTGGAATTTGTGGAAACGCGAAATCCAGCCGACGAAGAGTTTGAAAACGCTCGAGTCGGAACACATGCGATGTCGAAGCTCTGCGAACGAAAGTGTAATTACCGAGATATTCGAAAGGCTAAAAAATGGAGAAAATAGGAGATCGAGATGATACGCGATAGCGCAGTCAGTAGAGTGTTTAAAGACACTCGAATGCGAAGAAACGCGAATGGAAATGAAAATTACCGGGATATCGAGAAAATCTCGAGGAAATTCTTGGGAAGAAATATGATATTAAAAGGATGAACGAAAGCATCGAACGAGACATTGTTAAGCAGGGAAATAGGGGAAATGAAGAGGAAAGGCGGGATCGAGAGGATGGGTATCGAAAGTGCAGCCGCAGCCGCGGTCTTGGATTTTACGATTACTCGGCAACCACTGTGCAGCGATTCGAGCCAATCTAAGAACTCTTATCTAGGATATCGAGCGTTATCCGGATTCCTGGGGAGAAAAGAAAGAGATTGCTGAAACGATCGGGTACTTTCCTCTGTATTCATCCCGTTAATTACACCCGCGGCCTTTCCATTCGGCGCTAACGATCCCGAACTGTATCGAATTCCCTGGATGCTGCCATACCGTGTCAAAATTAATATCCTCGCTCTAATATGGAACCAAAGTGGCCACTTTCCTCCGAGCGTGTATCACTCGCGGTCGAAGCTGAATCGACGCTGAACCGAAGCTTAACTGACGGTGAACTAGAGATTAACCGCAGCTTAACCGACGGTGAACCGACGCAGAACCGACGCAGAACTGAAGCTTAACCAAAGCTTAACGGACGGCGAACCAAAGCTTAACCGATAGTGAACCGACGCAGAACCGGCGCTGAACCGAAGCTTAACCGACAATGAACCGACGCTTAATCTAAGTTTAACCGAAGCTTAACCAACGGTGAACCGACACACAACCGAAGCTTAACCGAAGCTTAACCGAAGCTTAACCAACGGAAAAATCGAAACTCTCGTTTCCACGGATGTTCTCGTCGCTACTCGAACGGAACACACTGGAAGAACCAGCGAGGCCTCGTCGCGCAGCGCGACAATATTTCTCCCGCGTTTCCCCGAAGGACCGCCTTCGAGTGATCGTTTTCCTTGGAAATATGTTAATGAACACCGCGCCACCTCCTTCGCGATGCATTATTCCACGGAAACCGCTTCCGTCCGTCCACGGACGGAAGCCAGTGCCGCTGGTGGTCGACAGGCCCGTCGCTTTCCAAATTATCCCCATATATCATAATTAAAAAAACAACCAGGGATTCCTGCGAACCGATATCGCGAGGAAACGAAACGATCTCGAGGAGATACGCGCGCGTCACTTTCGCTCGTTACGAAAGCTGCATCTGCGGCCGAGAGCCAGCGAGAAGGGAACGAGCTACGCGAGCGAGCGAGCGGTTTTTCCTCTCGCTCGACACGTCGAACCACCGACGAGCCACGACCAGCCTCGCGAAGCGGGCCTGCAATTACACGCTCCGCGACCGACGTTCGACAGCCGAAGAAATTTCACCTAGAATGACGCGCGACGACCCAGATTTCCCGTGATTAATACGCCGGCCAAGGTAATTGGGATACACCGAGCCAAGGGGGTACCCATTGTCCGCGTAACGAGACTTTGCTTTTGTCGCGACGCTGGTCGAATTAGAAATCGGCCGCGATCGCAACGCGTTCGAGACGAAACGAGGCAACCAGCGATCGTTTTAAGAGGCTCGACGCGAGTCTCGGTCTCTGCTCGAGTGCGATAACTAGTCGTGAAATGCCGCATCCACGGACAATTTCACGGCAATTTGCGCTTCGCAATTTCTTCGCTGCGAATAGTTACTGTCGCCTTGTTTAAGATTCCACTTTCGTAATCTCGCCTAGCGAGGTCTATTAATCTTCCTTCTGCTCGGCGCCTCCATCTCCCCGTCCACTCGTCGAGCCTATTCCCCCAACGAATGTCCCTTGTCAACGAAATTCCCAGGACCCGAGGATACTCGCGAATATCCGCGGGGGGAGAGGAAAAAATCGCGATACGTCTCGGTTACCGTGGCTGACGATCGTTTTCCAGTGCGTGGCAATCGCGAAACGAGGCGATCATCTGGCCTCTACTGGCAAGAACGAGAATTCGCTCTGCTTTATGGAGGAATAAAGTCGACCAGCTCTCTCCCGCTGCCGGAGAAAGAGCAGGCCGCGCGTTCCCCGCGAGCGCGTCTTTCTTTGGAGAAAATTACAGTGTACCCTTGTATGGGCTAAACAAAAGATCACGGCCACCGAGAAAAAGCCTCGATGCCTAAGCACGTGGAATTCCACGGTGTAAACTGGCCTAACGGAAATCTCGTACGCGATAAACTAATTTAACCCTTTCACGATCGAGCTAGAGTCCCTCTCGGGCAAGACTCTGCCAAATTTACGAGCCAGACGAGTCTCTGCTCAGCTAGTTCTATTCAGGCTTTATCATGGGGACTTGGATATTAATTGAAGCTAAGAAAACGTGTATTATCCCGATGAAAGAAGATTTCACCGTTTCTAGCTCCGTAGAAAGATATACCAGTGTCGAGGAGTAAAATCTTTGGCAGGATGTTTGACAGGATTACTCGAAGGACGATGTCCATCGAGTTTGGCGTCAGGAGACTTCGCGAAACGCGATCGAGACACGATCGAGACGCAGAAAGTGTATACTGCCCTGATAAAAGAAGCTTTGACAGTTTCTAGCCCAGTCTAAAGATATACCAGTGTCGAGGAGTAAAATCTTTGGCAGGATGTTTGACAGGATTACTCGAAGGACGATGTCCATCGAGTTTGGCGTCAAGAAACTTCGCGAGACGCGATCGAGACGCGGAAAAAAACGCAATCGACTGTTGTTCTTTCGAGGGAGTACCTCGGATACGATGATGACAGGCTTTTGGAGAGAACGTAGGAAGAATTTCGTTCGTTCTTGACGGTATTATTATGTATCGTTACTCTGGTATGCCAAGCGCGATCGTATCACCGATCGGGTATCGAACACGATGGTTACGCTACTGTTAATTTGCGGCGGCACTCGAGATACTCGGT